GTGGGCCAAAATCGTGCAACAGCCATGAGACGGCCCGGGGAACACGTCAAGCACCTCGGGAGGGACCAATGTGAGTTGTGGAAACTTACGAAACTGGCACAGGACTCCCGATTTGAAAACTAAGTCGAAAAATGCACTTTTTTCACACTTAAGGTTGAAAATAGGCCATCGGGAGCCAAAATCATATAATAGTCATGAGAAGGCCCTGGGAACACTTCAAACATCTCAGGAGGGAGCAATGTAAGTTGTGGAAACTTATGGAATAAGTACGGGACTCCCAGTTTAAAAACTAAGTCGAAAAATGAACTTTTTTTCAGACTTAAGCTTGAAAATCACAAACACCTCGGAAAGGACCAATGTAAGTTGTGAAAACTTACGGGACTAGCTAAAATAATATTGATATTTTGTTCATGTCATTTCAAGAGAAATAACAATCATCTTCTTTGGTTTAACTCACACAAAAAATTAAATTTCTTTATTTTTCAATTTTTTTTAATATTTTAAGCATTTTTTTTCAGATACACCTAATCTAGATATACTTAAGAAGTATAATATTTTTGCTCTATATTGGCCACTCCTCTCACAAGCAAGATACATCCTGGGTCTTTTTTTCCCTCCACCATAGTCTGATGTTTTGATTACAATGACCAAACCATTTCTCTTTCCAACTTCACGTACCCAGTTGAGCAATTCATCCTTACTTTTGAATACCTACAAAGTTAAATAAATATTATCAAACATTTACATTTGGTGAGCAATTCAAAACATAATCGTTATAATTTCGTAGACTGAACCTGTTCAGTTGTGAAATGAGTGGTGTAATCTAACACAAAATTCGCGCAAACCTGACTTCCTTGAGTTGACACATATTTCCTGCATGTTTTGTATAATATTACAAATTTTTAATGGCATTATAAAGATTAATTTGCAATTTGAAACTGTAAATTTGGTATGCAGTTTGCAAATTTGGAATATAAAATGGAAAAAAAAAATTTACTTCATTCGGAAGTAGTTGTCCGAATTTTTTTTCAAATTTCGGAAGTTGAATGTTGTATAAGTTAACATTTTTCGGACAACAACTTCCGAATTTATATACATTTTTCGGACAACAACTTCCGAATTTATATACATTTTTCGGACAACAACTTCCGAATTTATATACATTTTTCGGACAACAACTTCCGAATTTATATACATTTTTCGGACAACAACTTCCGAATTTATATACATTTTTCGGACAACAACTTCCGAATTTATATACATTTTTCGGACAACAACTTCCGAAATTTATCACTTTATTCAGACATCAACTTCCGAAAATACATAATTATTTCGGTAGTACATTTCCGAACAAATAACAAAATTCGGCTCTGGTTATCCGAACGACGCTGCGAAAAAAAAATAAATTAAACTCACATTTCCTTCGCTCTGCTTCACATGAATACTTATTTGCTGATTTTCAGAAGACAAATCCTCCATCACAATGATATTTTCCCCACAGAAATGCCACAGCCCTTTGTAAAAAATGAAAACCCTACAGAAATGCCAAAGCAATTTTCAAAGAAGCATGCCAAACCAGTGCTCCTACACACACGATGCAACAATGTCAAGGTGTGCATTGAGATGTTTTCAATTAACAATGGTGTCTAAAATGGTAATTTCACTTAGGGATAAAATTGTAATAAAATTAAGTATCATTAAGTGTGTGTATTGAGGGGATTAGGTGCGTGTATATAGAAGCTCCCAAGAAGGAGGAGGGTTTATTTTATTGGTTGCTGTTTTAATCCCTACAACTAACACTGAGGTTTGGATTGAGTGATTTGGAGTGTGAGAAAAAAAATAGAGAGATGTGTATTTTTTTAAGGTAAATTATCAATTGATTTTAATAGTTGGACTTAATTCTTATCGAGTCTTATTAAAATTAAATTTTGATAAAATTATTACTAAAACATAATTTTTTTGTAACAATTTTTTATATATATCGCCAAAAATTGGCAACTAGTGACTTTTTTTTATTAATGATTTTTATAAATTGTGACTAAAACTTATAATTAGTGACTTTTTTTATGATAAATTTTTTTCATAAGACCTATTAAACAATAAGTACACATGTCAGGATATGTAAATACCCTTTTTTTTTTATTTGTATAAATAATTTAAGCAGAGAGAAATTGAGAGAAATTCATTTCTCTTATAATTTTCATTTTCAATATTTTTAAAAGTGGAGAGATTATGAGAGAAAAAAACTAACAGATTCTTATATTTTTATAATATCAATTTTGCCCCTGTAAAAATAAAATAAATAAAATGATTGACAAAATATAAAAAGGTTATTTTGGTAATATAATATAAAACAGTTCATTTTCTTTTCTCTTATGAAATCTAACTAAACAAGAAAGAGAAAAATTACAATCATTTCTTTTATTTTATTTCTTATTTATCCAAACAAGAATGAGAAAAATTATAATCATTTCATTTCATTTCTTTTTTTTTTCTTATAAATTATGTAATCATTTCTTTTCTTTTATCTCGTAGATTTCTAAACATAGTGGAAAACTGTGGAATATTGACCATCAAATTTGAGTAGCATTTGGTTTGAAACCCAAATCAAATCATGATTTTAATTTTTTTTTAAATTAAAATTTATAACTAAATGTGTAAATTATACCGACACCCCTTTAAGGTTTCTGTTTAATACAGATCATTCCCTCATATTTAAAAAATTGCATTTACCCTTATCAGATTAAAATGATATGTTTATCTCCTTAACCTTTATTCATATAAAATAATATTGATATTTTGTTCATGTCATTTCAAGAGAAATAACAATCATCTTCTTTGGTTTAACTCACACAAAAAATTAAATTTCTTTATTTTTCAATTTTTTTAATATTTTAAGCATTTTTTTTCAGATACACCTAATCTAGATATACTTAAGAAGTATAATATTTGAGAATTTTTTTTTAAATTCACCAAATATAAAAATTTAATAATACTGTAATAAATGTGAATGACAATATTTGGTAATGCTATAATAAATGTGGGTGAATAAACAAGAAAGAAAAATGATGGTGGAAATAAAAATGAAAAATTATATTTATATATAAAAATTTATA